GGAAGTAGGGGCCAAAGAAACCTCCATAGCAGGAACAGGGGGCGCAATCACTGAAACGGGAGGGGAAGGAGCAACAGAGCCAGAAGTAGGAGCTGAGGAAGAAAGCGAAGCCTTCTTACCCGCCGGGGAAGAGGAAGGAGAGGAGCCAGGCTTACGCTTCTGACTTAAAGAGACTGGTGTCCCAGCAACTACGTACCGGGCAACGGATTCCAGTGTCTCAACAGGAGAAGCTGAACGAGAGCACACACGACGGCCGTTAGGAGAGCGATGGACATCCGCCCGCACCGACAGGCGGTGGGGAGAGCCGATAGATGAAGGAAGAGGATGGGAAGGAGGATCGGAGGGGGACGAGGAAGAAGACACAGGAGACATGACAGACCGGGTTGAAAGAAGGGTAACCCCAGACAGAGGACCAGGAGGGGGACCCCTCGGGGCAGAACACAAAGGAACAGAGGAGGGGGCAGTGGGCGTATCAGGGTCCAAGGCCCGGAAACGGTTGTGAGTCTGAGGAAGGGGGGAAGGACGAGGAGAGGAAGAGCGCAACACGCGAGCATAAGAGATGTTAGTATAAGGCGGGAGCCGGCGAACCTGGCGCCTCGCCTCAGGAAAAGATAAACGCTCCCGGTGCTTCAGGTTAAGGACGGCTGCCTCAAGCTTGTAATGGACACAGGCACGGGAGAAGGTAGGATGGGCCTCACCGCAGTTGAGGCAGCAAGCTTGGGGAGAAGTGCACTCCGACTTAGAGTGACCTTCACTCCCACACAAAGGACAGAGAGAGACAGTCCCAGAGCAGCGGAGGGCACCATGTCCAAACCTCCAGCACTTGTTACAAAGTCGAGGAGAAAGAATATACTCCTGGACAGAGCACCTAGCACCAGCAAGAATGACAGAGGATGGAAGGGTCCTACCATCAAAGGTGATCTTCACAACGCGAAGGGGTTGATGGCGACGACCACGAGGGGGACGAGTAAACGAGTCAACCTGGAGGACAGAATGGCCTTGGGCATCAAGGATATGCCGAATATCATCGTGGCAATCCTGCAGATTCCGAACACCGGTTGCAACATGGGGTGGGAGGAGAATAGTGCCAACACTGGCATTCAGCTGAACATTCTTGGAGACCCGAACAGGGATCTCGCCAAGGCAAGATAAGGCAGCCAAGCGGGAAGCCGCATCCTGAGAAGGAGCAGCAACGACACGTGTACCGAGAAGAGTGGGGTTGAAAGTAACAAACGCATCCACGGAATCTACAAGAAGGCGATGGAGGGAGAAATCGTCAGGAGGCGCAGAATCAAGAGGGAGGAGATCAAAGTATTTGGCCCATGAAGCAGGACCAAACAAGGCCTGATACGCATCAGCACGGGAAGGAATCGAGCGAGTGCGGTTGGGGCGCGAACGGCGTTGAGAACCCCTAGAGAGAGAGGGGTCAAAAGGCGCAGTAGTCACAACGAAAGACTTAGCCACACCAGGGGACGAAGTGGTCACCACCGGGGGCTGGAGGCTCGACCCAACCACAGAGGAGGGAGGGGAGCTGGGGGAAGAAGTCAGGACGGTCAAAGGAGGAGCAAGGTCGGGGCCCAACGCAGCGGGAGCTACAGAGCCTGGTCTTCCAATACAGGCCGACTCGGGGGCTTGGTCGCCCACCCCACGAGCCTGAGAGGGTACAACGGAAACATTCAACGACATAGAGACGAAAAGTGATAAATTCATCCACGAATGTGCCCCATACCCACCATGGAGCCACAATTAGAGGCAAGACACCCAACAGGAAGCTATCGCCGATCATGCCGGGGCCCCCTAGGGGTGCATCGTGAGTATACGCCCCACAAACACCACCTTAAGAACCGTCAGTCCGTCGAGATCGGGTTCAGCGACGAAAGGGGGATTGACAATAAAAGGTTCCCCTTGCTCGAGACGTTGGGTACTACAGTTCTACGGGTGCAAGAGTATGCCTCCTCAAGCACCCGGGCGTCAAAATAGAAGAAGTCCAAAGAAATAATCCAAAACAAGCAAAAGGTCGGCAGGAAATGACAAGCAGATAGGAGAAGAGGGGGGAGAAAAACGAAACATAAGGAAAAGGAAAAGCGATCCGGCACAATTGGAGAAGACAGCAGCAGGAGTGCAAGGCCAGAAAAGGACAGAGGACAGCCCAACGGAGCATCACACTCCGGCAGCCGTCCACCAAGCCCCCTCACGACGCCAACGGGCCGGATGGGGAGGGGGCACCAACAACGAAGCCACCTGCTCACCGTACAAGTGGTGATTGACTCCAGTCAGAAAGACCAGATGCAAGACTCAAGGAAAAGATCGAACCAGCCACACAACCGACCGGACCGAGCTGCTGAAAGAGGTGGAGCTGCAGGAAGACCTTTGGGTTCGGACATCGAGCAAGCAGCGCCTGAATCCAAGGCTGGGTCGGCCACTTCACACCACAAGGCACAGAACTGAAAAAAACAGGAGCCAGAGGTGCACAACTTTGCCAGTTAACATCAGTCACAGAACTGCTGGGTGGATAGCCGGCGCTGGGGTCTGGGACTTCCCCTTCCCCCTCCCAGGAAGGGGGAAGGGGGTGTTGCACAGACAGCGGCGCGGTGAAATCATGTTCGTTTCCTCGTTTTCATTTGGGGAGTTCTGTCCACTCGTCCGGCTTTCGGTAGCAATGTTTTCACCAGAAAACATTTTTTCTGGTGAAAACATGTTTGTTTTGGGTCGCCTACCTTTCTGGTTGCCTGACTCCGTTGATGGCAGACATAGAATGCTTCCAACCACACTGGGGTTTCTATAGGCCATTGCTCCTCGTGCCTCTCTGAGGGGGCCAGGTTCTGGCTCATGGTCCCCGGTAGGCAAGAACTCCTTGCAGTTCGACTGATGCCAAAAAGCTAATAAGTACATATCAGCCAGGATAGCTCCAGGAAGCCTCCGGGTCTCTCCCAGAAAATGGCGTTTACATTCAATGCTGTTTTTTTTACGCAGGTGGGTACAGGAACAGACGATTTCTGACTCCTGTTAGGATGAGAGCTTTCCCTTTCCATAGCTCATGGTAAGCCTTACCCACTAGTTTCCCTGGAACACGACACGCCAATCAGTTAACAACCTGGGACCCAATTACTGTTCGGTTAACCGAGGCAAACAATTAACAATTAGCACCCAGTCAATCCTCAATTGGTGAGACCAAATTGCCTGTAAGGTTCGGGGGAGCATATTACCAATGTAGCCATGTCAGTAACTTAATTACCAAATGTAAAAGTAATAATTTGAATGAAAATCCCAAAAGATCTAATACGGTTTTATTGACTTAGCCGTATATGTTATACTGTATAGCAATCTAATGAAAGCACGAAAATCGACCCAGTCACATTCCTTACAGAGACAATGTATTAATAGCCCATTCACACAATAAGTTAGGTACAATGCATTAGAATTATACAAAATCCTGAAATAATATCAAAGGTATACATGTTAAAAATTATTAAATATATATATATATATATACTGTGTGTGTATATATATATATATATATATATATATATATATATATATATATATATATATATATATATATATATATATATATGTCGTACCTAGTAGCCAGAACGCACTTTTCAGCCTACTATGCAAGGTCCGATTTGCCTAATAAGCCAAGTTTTCCTGAATTAATATATTTTCTCTATTTTTTTTCTTATGAAATGATAAAGCTACCCATTTCATTATGTATGAGGTCAATTTTTTTTTATTGGAGTTATAATTAACGTAGATATATGACCAAACCTAACCTAACCTAACCTATCTTTATAGGTTAGGTTAGGTTAGGTAGCCAAAAAAGTTAGGTTAGGTTAGGTTAGGTTGGTTAGGTAGTCGAAAAACAATTAATTCATGAAAACTTGGCTTATTAGGCAAATTGGGCCTTGCATAGTAGGCTGAGGAGTACGTTCTGGCTACTAGGTACGACATATATATATATATATATATATATACACAGTATATATTAGTATATTTTGGTAGCAGTCTTTCCTGTAGACATATATTATTAAATATGACCGAAAAAGTAAGATTAATAATTCTAACACGAATTTTCTCAATCTTTCGTACATTTCTTTTCACTGTTGGAGGTAAATCAAAAATCAATTCTCCAAAATTCATTTTTATTTCTAGTCTGACGCGACACGAGCGCGTTTCGTAAAACTTATTACATTTTCAAAGACTTTAGTTTACAAATACACAACTGAATAGAACTTACGCATCTCCGATTTTATATCTACATTTGAGTGAGGTGGATGGGGTGAGGTGGCATTAATAGGGTATTAATTTCATCAACACAAGACAGAACAAGAGGTGGTATTAATAGGGTATTTAATTTCATCAACGCAAGACAGAACACGAAACAATGGATATTGAATAGAAGTGTTTGTAGAAAGCCTATTGGTCCATATTTCTTGATGCTTCTATATTGGAGCGGAGTCTTGATGTGAGAAAATCCCAGAAGAGAAGAAGAAGAGTCACACGTGAATGCCAGGGACTGATGGTCACACGTGAATGCCAGGGACCGATGGTCACACGTGAATGCCAGGGACTGATGGTCACACGTGAATGCCAGGGACCGATGGTCACACGTGAATGCCAGGGACTGATGGTCACACGTGAATGCCAGGGACCGATGGTCACACGTGAATGCCAGGGACCGATGGTCACACGTGAATGCCAGGGACCGATGGTCACACGTGAATGCCAGGGACTGATGGTCACACGTGAATGCCAGGGACCGATGGTCACACGTGAATGCCAGGGACTGATGGTCACACGTGAATGCCAGGGACCGATGGTCACACGTGAATGCCAGGGACCGATGGTCACACGTGAATGCCAGGGACCGATGGTTGCACAGACACAAAATGCTCTACATGTCTAAAGTGTGAACTGCACAGAAAGTAATACAATTACCGGGTAATTTTGTTTCTATTCTTAATTATGCATAAATATTAAGGTATGTAAAAATGTACTAATTTATGCTGTTCCTCTGATTTATTTTCTTCTTACAAATTTTTGAGTTTTTAACCCATCTATTATATCTAGGACTAGAATCTTATATTGTTATATATAATCTGAAATTAGAAAAAACATTACAATCTAGTGTAATTTGCTAAATATAGTTTTTAGTTACAATCCACATCAAATATATTGTTTCCGACTGTCACTGCAAGTATTTACGTAGTCTCCAGCTGCCCTTGTCCATCACCTTTGCAACCCTTCTCTTACCTATATGCATTCCCAGTTTCACCTTCCAACACTTTCCTCAGTTCATCCGAAATCATCCCACTCACATCTTCCGATACCACTCAGTTCATCCCACTCACATCTTCCGATACCCCCTCATCTTCTGATACCCCCCTCAGCTCATCCCATTCACATCTTCTGATATCCCCTCAGTTCATCTCACTCGTCTCTTTACTTGCATACCCTCTCCATAATTATAACTAATATTTTTGTCATCAAATGAGAACATGCTAATGCTGCACCCTCCATTTTCCTACCAACAATTTGTCATGTCTTCTAGCACCTGGTTCCCTGCTCTGCCCACATTTCCAACAATGTATCTAAATCAAACAGCTCCCTTCACAGTGTTTATACTTTTTTTTTTTTAACTGTACAGTATTCATGTTTCAATTCCCTGTGTTGGAATAGAAAGTAAATTTCTGCTATACTTCACAACATGACTGATAGATATTTATAAACAATTCTGGTCCCCAATATCCTCTACCATATTTGATGCTTATTATCACAAGTGGTGTTATTGATCTTAACATTACACTATTGTACTTTTTCACAAAAGCTCTGTACACAATTTCTTTGACTAATTAAAGCATTATCTCATCATCAGGCACAAAATCCCTCCCTCACTTGCATTCCTTTCAGCTCTTTCTAGTTCAGTGTCAGATATATGCAAGAAATAACTTCCTGGGCAAGATTCCAATATTAACACCAGTCAGGAGAAACTACTCTCTTCATCACATTTTCATAGCCAAATATATTTAATACACACACATTCACCATTCACAAATACATAGAATAATCACATGCACACATCACCATTCTCAGACCCATGTACTGTATATATTTCACTTTGACAGCTATTATATGTGTAATTATAAATATACCACTCATCCACAAACTTAATTTACTACCTATGTTTAACTAATCACAATTCAGTTTCATATTTCAATGACTATGTATTTCTCTTTTAGTGAAAATATGTACTGGAACTGTAATCACCATAAAATTATTTTCTTTTAAGTTACCCTTTGTTAAAATATTTCATTGATTTTGTGCAATATCCATTCAGACAATTTTGTAATACTTAATGTAAAATAACTATTTAATTTTATTTTTTGACCCCAGAAGAGACAGACAAAATAATTATCCTAGAGAAATTTAACGCATCTGTAAATTCACCTGGATTACGAAGACTCGACATATGCATTAACCTACATTCTTCCTCGTTACAATTCACCTGGATCATGGAGACTCAACATGTATATCCACCTTACACACTACTTCATTACAGTTCACCTGGATCACGGAGACTCAACATGTATATCCACCTTACACACTACTTCATTACAGTTCACCGGGATCACGGAGACTCAACATGTATATCCACCTTACACACTACAGTACTTCATTACAGTTCACCTGGATCACGGAGACTCAACATGTATATCCACCTTACACACTACTTCATTACAGTTCACCTGGATCACGGAGACTCAACATGTATATCCACCTTACACACTACTTCATTACAGTTCACCGGGATCACGGAGACTCAACATATATATCCACCTTACACACTACTTCATTACAGTTCACCTGGATCACGGAGACCCAACATGTATATCCACCTTACACACTACTTCATTACAGTTCACCTGGATCACGGAGACGCAACATATGTACCAACCTACACTCATTACAATTTCCCTGACAAATTTACATACATTTTTACTTTCACTGAAAATATGCATTACAGAAGGAAGGCTGCCTGTAAGACTAAATATACTTCATATATATTTTGTATGCTTCTAAATGCCATGTGAGCAAAATGTTTGTAATAAAGTAACTATACTACTGTAATTGATACAACTGAAATGTCACATTGTTGAAACACTAATCTCTCAATATTGGTTCTAAATAATATTTTACATGTGTCACCAGTACAGAAATTATAACTGAAAAAAAAAAATATAAAATCACAAAGATTCATTGAAAAACTAACTTTAAATATTTCTTTGAGCATCAATGTTTATTTATCTACAGTTTAGTCATTTGTAAAACATTAAATATTTGAAGTTACAACAAGATATAACTGTAACGCTATGAATATTACATTTGGAAACATCATACCATATGTACTCTATGAATAGCAACATCCAGCATAGCTATACAGGATCATATTTTTGACACATCTTACTCGCCAAGGAGTAAAATAACTCTGTGTTCATCATCTCCACCAGAAAAGCTTACGTTGCCATTTTTACCAGGAATACAAATAGCAATTACTCAAGAATTTTAGATACTGTATACAAGTTTTTTTTTTATTATTCTGCCATTCGTAAAATGTACTGTACTTGTACTGCATTTCTAATTTGTGTAAGTCTTCTGTCAGAGAAAAGTTAAATAAGGCAACACAGTTTCTCTTTTATGTATGTTAACAGTAAATAGTTTCCTTGAGAGACTATAAAGCTCTTGACTCTGGAAGTTGTGTCAGTCTTCAAGTCCACATCATCATGGGGATTCACATCTTTCCTGCTTGTATGATGATCACAATATCATTCAAGGGGTGACTTCCAAATAAAGTATAAGAGTGATGAACTTAAATCATCACATTTATAATACTGGAAGTATAAATCTCCTAACAATAAAATAACAAGGGTTTCTCCATTAGATTCTGAAGACCTTAATGTTAAACGATTGCGACCAAGACTATTCTCCATAGTTATTGCCTGGGATTGCACATTTATGACTATATAATAGTTTTCTCACCTTGTAGACTTACAGCAAAATAAGAGTCTATTTTGGTACATTTAAGCTCTGATGAAACTCTGCTTCATCCAAGACTAAAGATGTCTAAACTAAATTTGCCAGGTCTCTTGCGAACCAAGTTGACAGCCACTGTAAAACAATAAAATATAATACAAAATTAGTGTTGGATTATTAAGATGTGTGCATCTTTATTCATAATGAAATCAACTGAAAACTATCATTGCCTCATTAATTTGAACAAATTAGAAAATATTTATTTGTGCTTTTATAATTGAAGGTTGAATTGTGCGGTGATAAATTCTGCCGTGCACAAGGTCTGGTTCGACAATGTACATTTGATGTTGTGGAATTTGGTAGCCTTGTTTTGGTGCATAATCCATGTCTCTACTTTTTATAGTATTCCTGTGCATTCCTCCTTTCTCCTTCCAGTTGTGCTACAGACACAAACACCAAGTTTTAACCTTGAGACTCCTCACAAACACCTTGTATTTTATGCTCCTTTGGAATACATTCCAGTACCATGGTTTATCCTAAATATACAGAAGCTTTGTTTATATAAGTAAACTTATTTGTTATATGTATAGGAACAGATGTTGTATGGAGAGAAGAATGTAAGAAAGACACAATTTGAGGTTTCTGGAGACCTAATTAATTTTTCTAATTAAAATTATAAAAAAGTGCGAACATCATCTCCTTAATATCATTACAATTAAACATAGTGAGAGGGAGAGTACTTAATTAGTTGTATAATATAAACATGCTTACCTTGCACCCAGTACATGCATGGGGGAACTACGTAAACAATACTAGTCATGCAGTGTTGTCTCCTCTACCAAAGGTGCAAGTCTTCTGTGTGTATCTACTCAAATAATTGACCATAATTTGACTTACAATTAAACAATTACAATATAAATGATGAGAGAATAGAAAGGTTGAAGATGATACAGTATATAAACATTATTATTTAAAACCCTGCAATGTATAGGCAATCTTACCATATTGTTTATTGCTGTACTTTTGATCAAATCAGAGATTGTTGTGGACAATATGGAATTTAAACACCTTGTATAGCCTTAACTATACATTAACTAAATGTTTTATTGTGGTTTGTTTACTTCCTTAAGAAAGTTGGCTGCCACAGTGGAACATTAAGCAAAGGGGTTTTGAATTCAAACTGCTGACAAATGTTCTAAAATCTTGCTTGAATATCATATAATAATGTTCAGCGTAAAAAATGCTAAGGATAAATATACACGAGAGCTCCAATATCTAACATGTGGATGCAATAGCATTGAATAAATTGTAATTCGGCCATTCATGCGCACGTGTTCTGCTTGTAATTCACAATCAAAGACTTTAAAATACTTTAAATCCAATGTAACAGCTTAAAAGAACCATAAAATGTTCACCAGTATGTATATGTACATATGAATACATGTACAGTACTGTATATGCGAGTATACTGCATATACACATACTTTATACTGTATTATTTGGAATTCTGTAATAAAAATACATTATACAGCACCAACTACACAATTTCACTCTAAAATTCTGAGGGAAATGAGTGGAACAGCTTTCAACATAATATCAAGACTACTATAACAGCATTGCTTATCCAGCCAGTTCAAAACTTGAAGCACCATAGTCGCTTCTTTCACCGTAAAGAACGTCACCTTGGATAAAGAAAAACCAAACACAGTAATATATTGAGAAACACTTGCTTTAAGAAGGTACATATACTTTCATGCTATATATTGCTTCAGAGTTTGATCAAGTAGGTACCATGGAAAACTTTGTCTGGTGAGGTTTTGCCTCCGATAAAAGTGGCAATTTATTGAGGCAATTTTATTGTTTTGCCTACAATAAAAGTGACAATAACCTTCCCTTCCCCACCCACCTCCTTTCTCCAACATCCAGTGCAAGCATATCTGTACAGATGCCCAAACGGGAGAGCGTGATTTCCATGTTTGCCTTTATTTTGTTTGATTATATGCATTCATGTCTGAGCAAACCCTTTCTTTTTTTCTCACATGCATTCAGTACCAAGCTAACAACTGATCTCTTAATGTAAATTAAGTTACAACTATCACATCCTACTAAGTTCTTTCTCCGGTAATCAGATTTGTGCATATCAATGCTCCACCCCAAGTAAAGATGAAACTAGCAATGCTACAATGGACATTGTCCTCGATATTAATAATTAATTAAAAAAGAACAAACTGAAATAATGTGAATTTTTAGTGCAATACTTAGAAACAGGCATGAGCCGAGATATCATTGTAGGACTACACCTGAGGTTAATGCAGTCACTCACAAATTTTATTAAATATTGTTTTAAGATTTACAATTATTGGGAAAGCAAATACAAATATTTAAATATTTAAAAATATTTCATTCTTAATTTTGAGTAAAATTGTTTAGGATATTGTACTTACCAGAATACTGTATGTGACTTGGAAATGTTTCAACTATCTTTAAATGCAACTGCTCGAAAATATAATGCAGTAGAGAATTTTCAGAATTTTGGCAATTTTTGGTGAACTTATGGAGAACATTTCATAAGGTACACCATGACATAAATAAAGTGTGTTTATACATGTAATAACATATTGGGACACCCTATTAATTTAAATACAGTGCACACTTTCATTGTGTACCGGTATATAGACAGATATTAACAAAAACGAGGGAATTATTTGTAAGCAAATACCAGGAAATATATGCATTCCGAGGGATAAAGACAAACCAACTACTACTACAGGATTCATCTACGAGTCTCGGGTTGTATGAGTAATTATGTATGAGTAATGTATCATGAATAATGGTTAAGTGATGTGTCGACAATGCGATCAGGTATACCAACCTAGAGAAACAATCCAAATTATAGCAAGGCTATTAGTTTTATTTAAAAAGATTAAAACTTGTACAATAAATGGAAACACATATTCATGTCCACCGACACAATATATCATACATAATACAATGTGAAATACACTGTAAGCCCAAGAAAATATATGGGGAAGAGCACCAATGTTTTAACACAATAAAAGTTGACTCAACCTCAATCTTTTTTCAAAACATCTTTAAGTGGTACAGAGTAAAAATATAAATACTGTACTGATTTAGAGTTTGATCAGTTTTAAACAATTAAGCTAAACTAATTGTTCATTAATATTATGCTCAATGACTTCCCTAAATTTGTCTTTATTCAACAAAATTTAACCAAGTGCATACAAAACTCCATTTTAACAAATTTGTCTATTCTGTCAATTGTTAGTAATTTAAATACAGAAAAGTTAAAAAGATAGGAAAAAATAAGCAAACTTTTAATAAGTATTGAAAACTTTAAATAGTGGAGTGATAATTCATACATGGATGAGCAATCATTTCATACAAGAATACTGTACTTATAATGTATAGAGACTAAATTTACATTGTGATTTGAATTATGATGTTAAAATTATCTTTTATTTCCTGAGGAATTTGGAAACTACCTCTGAGCCTTGAAATGTATGTTTTGTAATTGGAAACAGAACAAAAAAGCAATTACCCAACCAAAACTCTTATACAAAACATATTCAGTTTTTTTGACAAGATAAATACATGTATATGATTAAAAGTGCCATCAAATGATATTGTCAGCAAGTATAACATCCAGACACACACTACAGTATATCACTATGTCTGTGTTTACTTAGCCAAATAAATTATGTCCTAATAATGTTGACTTTTAAACAGAATTTGAAGGCTCTAAAGTTAATATGCCACTTAAATATTTCTGTTTATACCACAGCAAAATACTGTCGTTCAAAATGTTGTCTTCAAAATGTTAAGGCCTTCCATAATAAAGGATAACTGAAAATGACATGAAATTATGATGCAGAAACTGTGTACTTTTGCATGTAATCGGAATTTACACATGGAACGCAGTGCATGGGTTGGCTCTCAATCTCATCTTACACATTGAAATGATTAAAAAAAAAAAGAAAGCCATAAGCTAAACTTTGATAATACTATACTGTATATGTAACATAAATGATCCAGTAATGCTTATAGTAACTGGATATGTACGAAGAAGTGGTTAACATCTGCTACCGTCAAGCACTTACAGTCTTCTCACTGTGACACGCATGCGCCTCGTGCAAGACAAACATGACCATATACAAGGTTTGCTGCCACAGGGAACTTTTTATCAACGCTTTCTTTTCAATACTTGCACACACAATGCTAAAAATGGAATGTACATCTTGATACATGTACAAAATGAGAGTAAAAAAAAAAAAAAAAAAAAATAATCTGTATCATAGGAATTTACATGAAACTTACTGTAGGTATTTTAACTTTTCTTGTCAAACAGTACAGCTTTCAAAGCCCCCCCAAAAATAAAGCATATCTCTTTACCAACAAGCAAAACATTACATACAAGCGCAGGGCAACAAATGCATATGTATAATAAAAAAATAAAAAAAAAAAAATAAAAAAAAATAGCAGCAATGTTTTCCCAATTTGTGTGACCCGCTCATCAGATGTAAGTGTCGAATGAGAGGCACTGTATTAAGAACACATGGGCAAGTGATGGTACTAGTGTTGAGGTGGTTTAGTGTAGTATCCTGGTCTTCAGCCACACAGTTACTGGCTTTCTCCTCTCACCGCCCCAGTGGCCAACTGAAAGTTTTAACCAGTTACACAACAACACAAATCTTTTACACGCTCAAATTTCAAACCTCTGAAATTTTATTTACCAATGAATTAATTATAAACCCTTAAAATTTACATTATAATTTGATTTTAAATTGTTTAACAAATAATTATTAGAATTTACAACTGAAGATAGTTTTTAAATTCTTTAAAAAAATTTGAATTTAAAAGATTTTACAAAATATTTTCTTAATAAATTTTTCAGCAACACACGCACTTAAACCTAATCATTTATGACAAAAAAAAAAAAAAGAGAGAGACATTTGGAATAGTATTTTATACAAAAATTATATTGTTCCTTCTATATTAAAAATGTTGTAAAGTGTGACACTTGCCTTGAGTGACAAAAGACGGGAGGAAGGCCTGCAAAATAAGGCACAAGCAGCAGCAGGAAGCAATTAGCAGGAGAGGGAATGGAAACGCACATC